TTTAAGAGATCTAGAGCCCCCATTAAGAAAAATCAACAAGTCATCAGCAAAACCTAAATGTGATAAAGGGTAACCCTTATTCCCCATCCAATAAGGTTTGATTAATCTATTCTGACTATACGAATTGATACCTCTAGAGAAAACCTCAGAAGCAATGATAAATAAAAAGGGGGAAAGAGGATCACCTTGCTTTACTCTCCTTTTAGGTTTGAAAAAACTAGAAGACACACCATTGACCAAAATAGAAAGATAAGTAGCCTAAAGATTATTAAGAATAATCTGTTTGAATCTGTGAGAAAATCCAAATGAGCTGAGAACTTCCATCAAAAAGTGCCAGGATAGCTTATCAAAAGCTTTCTCCATATCTACCTTTATTATCACATTAGCACCTATTATCTTTTTTTCAATAGAATGAACCATTTCTTGCGCTATGAGAATGTCATCAGCAATATCCCTATTTTTCATGAAACCAGCTTGCTCCAGAGAAATAATTTTGGGCAGTATTTTGTCAAGTCTAGATACCAACACTCTAGTACGGACCTTACTAATAAAATTAGAGAGACAGATAGGCCGAAAAGCACCAAAATTAGAGGGATTCGTAGATTTGGGAATCAAAACAATCAGGCTACTAGAGATTCCAGGGGGGGTGGAATGGCCTCGAAAAAAGTCCTGTAGTGCTCTCTACATCTAATCCAATAATATCCCAGCATTTTTTAAAAAACTTACCATTAAAACCATCTGGGCCTGCTGCCCCATTCTGATTCAAACTCAAAACTGCATTTTTGACTTCCTCAATTCTAGGAGTTTGAGTGAGTTAGTCATTATCCTCATCTGTAATCAATCTTGGTATAAATTTCAGGATATCCTCATGATTTTCAACAGGTGTCTCAACAGAATAAAGAGATGTGAAGAATTGTACTGCTGCCTCTTGTATTTCAGGTAAGGAAGAAATTGTATTACCATCAGAATTTACAATAGAGTAAATAGCTTGTTTCTTTTGTCTGATTTTGACAAAATAATGGAAAAATTTGGAATTGGAGTCTCCTCCCTTAAGCCATTGGATGTGGGATTTTTTTCCAATATTTCCTTTCAAGCTTAAGCTTACAAGTGAGAATAGCTTTTAGATTCATCCAACTCTCCCTGTTTACTTCATTTGGGGTCTCAGTATATAGAGCTTCAGCTTGTAGGACCATCTATTCACAACTTTTAATGTCATCAAAAATGTTTCCAAGGACTTGTTTATTCCAGTCTTTAAGAACCTTTTAAAGACTCTGCAATTTAAGAACCAGGCCTCTCATGCCTCCCCCAGTATTGGTATTAGCCCAGCAAAGTTTAACAATATCATAGAAAGTTGGGTGTGAGATCCACATATTTAAAAATTTAAAACTTTTAGGGCAAGAATGAGAGCTGTGGAAGCACCTGAGAAGAATAGGATTATGATCAGAAGGGGTCTTGTCCAGTACATTTATCTGAATTTGATCAAAAACATCCAACAACTTGTTGTTAATTAGAACCCTATCCAACCTTCTCCAGACCATGCCATTAGATCTTTGACCTGCCCAAGTAAATTGAGGCCCCATAAAAGGCATATCAATAAGATCACGAGATGAAATACAATCTGAGAATTCCAAAATACTAGCCAAATGAGGGGCCTTTCTACCCTGATGTTCACTATGAGTTGCTATAGTGTTAAAATCACCTCCTACAATCCACGGATCTTTTATTTGAGTAGACAAATCAATCAAAGCAGTCCATAACTGTCTTCTAATAATATGATTGTGATTCCCATATATAGCAGTAATCCAGCCAGAAAAAGACCCCTTTACTAACCTCATATGAACAAATTGTTGGTGCCAGACAACATCAGATACCTGAACCTCCTCAGGATTCCAAAAAACCCATATTTTATTAGTAGAAGAAAAAATAGCTGACTGAAAATTGAAATCTTTTTGAAATTTTTGAATTTTTGAAGAATCAACAATAGGCTCAATCACCACCACCAAATCAATACTCCATTGCCTTATTAAGGAACTAAGTCTAGCAGAAGAAGAATCCAATCCCCTCACATTCCAAAACAGAAAATTCATTTATAAAGAGTGAGTAGAATTTAAAGAGGCCCCTTCACAGGCACTTGGTTCCCCATGACTTATCTCCCCTAGATCTTCAACTTTCTTGCTTGCATTTCTAGTCACTCTAGGAGTAGCATTAGACTGTACTTTTCCTTTTTTCCTTTGCCTTCTGTCTGTGACTTTGATGAAATCATCTGCCTCCTCTCCACTAAGAGGTATGTTATCAGGGATTGATGTATTACCTATCTTTGCTGCTGCTCTTGTTCAGCTATCTTCTTGGCCATAAAATTAACTTTAGCTCTAACTTCAGCCCAGGAATTTTCCCAGTCTAATTTTGGCTTTCTATGTTGTAGGTGTTTCTCCGTTTCCCCCTCTGAAAGGTATTATTCCTTATCAGCTAATTCTGGATCAAAGTCCTGGGATTTGGCCAACTACTTTATATGGAAATCATCTTTGGCCCCAAGGTTGACACTAGATAGTCTAACTCCTGGGATATGTTTGTTCAATAAGGTCTGCACCTCTTCCTAAAAGATTGCATTCCCAACAAGCTGCTCTCCATGTTCAGGTGGTTCCAGAGTGTCCAAACACCTCTTCCACATCAGATTCATTGTCTATTTCCTTATGTAAAGTAGATGTACCAGATTGATCTTTATTGCTCTGAACATCAATGCCTTTCCCTTTCTCCTGTTCTGTAAACTTAACTTCTTTCTTCTGCTTATCCTCATCACCATGTAATTGTGGCATAACAGCCCATCTCTCCCTAGGATAAGTAATAACATGAGGCTTAGTTTTTTTAGGACAGTTCATAATGTCCGAGATGAAAACAGACACCACAATATTGTGGCCTGTTTTCGTAGATCACACTCTGAGAAAAACCATGCATTCCACAATTAATCCAAATTTTCTGGGGCTCCTTGGTGAGATCCAACTTAACACAAATCCGGGCCACAGAAGGCCTGGCTAGGGATGCAGTAGCTGCATCCAATTTCAATGGTGTACCAATTAGTCTAGCTATGTCAAATAAGGCACGTTGATCATGTAAATGAATAGGGAGGCCCTCGAACGCAATCCAAACAGGAACCACCGGGGATTCCACGTTTGGACGAAAATCAGGAGACCATTTCGTAACCTGCATGACCGTTCCATGAATCGACCAAGTCTGCCGATTCCAGCACCTTAAGTAGTCTTCTTCCATATCAAATCTTAGCAAGACATGTTTAGGATCTAAAAGACCCAAATGAAAAAATCCTTTAAATCCGATCCTTTCTAATGCTAGCCGAAGAGTCTTCAACCCTGGACGCCCTTGATAGAAATATCCCACAAGCGACCTCTTGTGGGGTTCTGCCAAGATTTGGATGTCCGATTCTAGAAATGATTTTGCTGGCATCCCTTTGAAACGTGAGAGTGATTTTTGAGACAGAGAACATGTGGATCGGTTGGAAACAACGTCTGCAAATGACTTGCCAGACCAGACCAGACCAGATTAAAACAGACTAAACCAGACCAGACCAACAAATTACAGTCCAAGTAAAAACATCCTTAGTTGAAAAACACTTTTGACCTTGGTGTTATTTGCCCGGCCAATCTTGGGTGTTTTCATGGAGATTAGTTTGCATGTGGAAGATCTTATAGTGGATATCCGCTTTTATTTTAAAGTAAGTGATCAACTTTTCTTATTTTCACTAAGGCTGCGTTTGTAAACACTTAAAAAAGACACAAATAACAACAACAACAACAAAGAGTTGAATTCCAAATTTATTTACATTTCAAGTTTAGTTATTTTTACTTTGTAATGCTTGAGTTTTTAAATCATATTATCTGCGTAAAATATTGGTTTATTGCAGGAATAAATTAAATTGATTGAATGAATGTGTATAAATCGATGGGGTGTTAGATTTATTAATGGAGAGAGTCGCGAATTTGATAAAAAATAGAGCTAACACCTTAGCTGATAAAAGTTTGGAATAGAGCTAGATATTTTTGATAAAGAATATTAAGTGTGATATTTTTGTATTTGTTCCATCTCTTTTTCTAGAGTGCAACACCAAAAACTTAGATACAAAAAATTGAACTTTCATTTTATTATTACAATTTTTGGTGTAATAAATTTTTTTGACCCGTTTAATCAATTTGCAATGGATAAAGACTTTTTGCATTTTTCTTATAAGCTCATCTAGACTCAGCCATATTAGTGACATGTAGGTCGGCCCGGTCCTTAAATTAGTTTTTATATATCGAGCCCAGCCCAACCCAGTCCGAACCAATTAGTTTTGGCTCGGTGTGGCCCGACAACCAGTTGATGATCCCTACTTCTATAATATGACCGGGACTGGCCGGGTATTGGGAACCGGATTAGAACCCGTAATACCCGGGTTGGGCCCGACTCTTGCATAATATGACCGGCATCGAGTTCATTTCTACGCCAAAGCAATTCAAAAGATTTCCTAAAAGTAATGCGTTTGAGTGGGAAACCCCTCTTAAATCAGTTTAGCATTAGATTATATTATATCTATCTCAAATTGATTTGCAAAATTGAACTCTTTTGCTAAAAAAATCATTTTATTAACTTAATTATAATGACAATTTTTAATTATATTATAATTTGGTGTTTACAATTTTAGTGTAATATGTAAATTTTAATTATTAAAAATTGAATTAATTATTCATAGAAAATACTATGATCCTGGTAGAAATAGATTTTTCTTTTTTTATTATTCTAGGCGTCAGGGAATAAAGGTACAATCACTACAATCCTAACTGGAACTCATAAAAATATTCCTACATAGTAATAGTGTGACATTTTCACCGAATTTATTCCTCCGGTAATCAAATTCATCAGTAACTAGCAGGATCAGCGGATATAGGCCGTAATACACGAAGTAATTAAGAAAGTGATCACTTTTCCAAAAAAAAAAGTGATCACATGGACACCTAATTGAAAAGAAGAGTTTAATTTGTTTATTTTAATCTGAAGAATTATAATTACATTATACAATATCAGATAATAATGATAATTATGGCACCAACAGACCATCTAATCTGATTACCAAGAAATGTAATTATTATTATAATAACAATAATAAAATTTGCACACCAATCACTTTTCTGTCTTCAAATAAAAGTATGATCGAATTGAAGATCATGAAGTTCGTATCTAATTATGAACGAAGATGATCATCGATCACCAGCACAGAGAAAGGAATCCCAATAAAACTCCCCCACCGACAAGAACCGAAGTTCTCCGCGAGAAGCCGCCCCTTCTTCCGGCGCCGGAAAAACTTTGGTCCACCGGATAGAGATTACCCGGGCTACCGGTGCCGTACACGTACTGAGGTGGTGTAGGGGGGCTGAGAACGGCAGGAGGGTCGTACCCTCCTCCGCTCGGCGGTGGAGGTGGGCAGTAGCTGATCGGTGATTTCTTCGGCGGCGGCGGCGACGGTGGAGGTGATGATGGCGGTGGAGGCGATAGTGACGGCGGGCTATAACAGGGCGCGTTGCAAGGGCACCCTCCACACTTGTTCTCTTCTCCGGTTACGCCGCCTTCTTCAAGTTTTCTGTGGATCGCCGATCCGTTGGACGGGATCGCCGCCGCAAGACCGACGAAAAGGAAAACGACAGCCAGCCACGACATGACGGCGAGGGAGAAGTCGGGTCGGGCTCTTTCCGGGTCGAGCTATCTAGACAGTATGTAGGCAGCTAACTTGCCTAGCTAGACAGATGAAATGGAATATTGGATTGACGATTCAGAGAAGAATATGATATGATATGGTGGTTGAAGGGGCGATTTATTGTTTGGAGGATCAAATTGATTTAGTAAATAAGAGATGAAACTCAAGAAAGTAAGAAGCAAATGAAGACTTTTCGTTTACGTTTCTATAAGGATGATGCATGATTGTTATGAAAAGACAAATTGGGGCTTATAATAGGACGACGAACGAGGTAAAATCCATTTCGGAACATTTAAATCTAATGGTGTGGGTCCCATGTTTTACTTGGACCGTGTTCAGTCTAAGATCACATCAGATCAAACTTAAACAAATCAAATTAGATCGGATCAAACCAGTTCAGACCAGATCTAACTTTCGTAGTTATAATATACACAAGGATTAGAGATTTACCATATCACACTAGATCAGGCCAGGGCAGACTTAAACAGACCAGACAACATCAAACTAGTAAATTTCAATTAGAAATTGCCTAATATAGGAGTAAATATAAACATAATTGCACAAATAGGAGTAAAACTTAAAACTTTCTTCAATAGGAGTAAACATTAATTTTGTACCCTTGATATCCCTAACCTAGTTAATTCTAAAATATGACTTATTTAATCCTAACCTAGTTAATTTATGACTTATTCGATAATAATAAATTATTTATTTATTTATTTTTTAAAAAATAAAAAAATATAAAAAATTTTAAAAAAAAAACTCAAAAAAATAAAATAAAATTCACTGCCGCCTCTGCCGCCTCAGCACCACCACCTCTAGTCACCAGGGGAAAAAATGTCAAGTTCATTACGAATGTCATATTTATGGCAGAAAATAATGAAAATGTTGGCATTCGCAAAGAGAAATATGTCATGTTTTTGGCATTTTCAGAAACAATGCAGTTTTTAGGGAAAATGGATTTTTTTTTCACCGCCCGGAGGTGGTGGTGCAGGGAGGTAGTACAAGCGGTGGGAAGGGCATTCATATTTTTTTAATTTTTTTTATGGAATTTTACTATTTTTTTAAAAAAATAAAAAAATAATTTTTTTTATTTTATTAATTTTTTAATTATTTTTCTACGATTTTTTGATTTTTTTTTCCGAATTTATTATGAATTAAACATTTAATTAATAGTTGTTGGGGCTTGGGTAGGGGTATACTTGTCTAAACACTAAAGTTACTCCTATTCAAAACATCGTACTCCTATTTTTGCATTTTGTCTATGTTTTGCTCCTATTTGGGTAATTCTCTCAATTTCAATCTAAGTAAAAACATCGTGAATGTGGATTATGATAAAAAAATTAATCCATGGACTCCTAAAAAAGTCCATACACTTTTAAATTTATAAATTATTTTATGAGCGTAAATCAATAGACTTTTACATTCAGACCGTCATTGCTCGTCATCTGAATTTTCACCTAGACCGCAACTGTCGAACTTCCTGAATCTCACCGCCGTCCGCCTCCGCCACTGGAGTTCACTGCCACCAGCATCGGATTGATCTGCCACCTACAAAATAACCTGGTTATACAAGGGAATTAGAGGCCGATAATTAATTATATTAATTAATTAAATTAGGGGTAAAATGTAATACTTAGTCCTATTTTAGAGAAATAAAACATATGATCGTACTTTGGGAATAATGCTATGTTTTAGTCCTATCATGAGTAATTTCCTCTGCATAATATGATAAGAAACAATAAGGGAAAATGGTCAAATAAGGTCTTCTACTATTACAGAATCGTCACATAAGGTCATGTAGTCAATAAAGTGTCATATAAATATGTCTATTTATAAAAAGCAATCGGATGAATCAAAACGAGCCGTTGACAACCTCCTAACCCCAATTATAGCGTTTTTAATCGTCAAAACATCTGGCTTAAACTGATATCACAACATTCAGACAGGGGGTAAAACGACAAAATGACCACAGACAACCACCAGCCCTCGAATCAGACTTAGAATCAATCATCTTCAAAAATCAATATGACTCCCTGATACTATAATGGGCAAATGAGCCAACGACGGTTAAAGCAGGCCGCTCATCACCCAATCCTAATGCAAGAGTCTTACAACAATAAACGTAACCAACTGAAAAATAAACAGTCTCATCATGAAGAATAAATAGCAAGCAAACAGTAAAATTAAAATGATGCTTCCAAACCCTAGACTCTCTTGAACTCCATGGCGGTGTTTCAGGAGGGGGATGATCCAACAGTATTGTAGCTCCTTACTTGCATTGCCTCTTGTTCATCATGTTCTCTACCAAGTCTCATCTATCACCACCAATAATCATGGATGACCTCGAATCCATATTTGTTCCAGCCTCTAACCCTACGCTTCGTCCACGACCTTTGGCCGCCGGAGATCAAGCATCTGTCTTCCGTCCCCGCACAACCTTCAGCCGCCGAAGACCAAGCATCCTCTTCCCTTCTCTTAATCTCGCCAAAGCAAAAGAAGAAAAAAGCCGCACAATTGATGGCGGAAGAAGAAACCCTGTACACCTAAGCCCGCCTGTGATGGCCGCTCCTTGTTACAAACGATAGCGGAGGAAAAAACCCTAGCGGCAGAAACCCTCCCTAGAGAGAAGCTTAACCCCAATTATAGTTCACATGTCATTATTTTTGTCTTGTATTTAAATCAATTACGGAAAACTATTTCACGTCAGCCTGGACAATCGTCAACATGACATTAGAACTTATTCGATTGTGTTTCATAAGTGGACGTATTTATATGACACTTTATTGAGTACATGACCTTATGTGATGATTTCATAATAGTAGAAGACCTCATTTGACCCTTTTCTCAAACCATTAAATAAATAAATGAAATAAATGTAGTTCATCCGGCAACACAGAGTTCTACGAGAATAAACGAAGCATAATCATGCAAATTTAGTTTTAGTAATAAGAAAACTCAACGGTTCAAAAATGCACAACGAACTCAGTCTTTTTATGATCAATTATTGAATTACACAACTAAATGAGTAAGAACATTAATCGTTACACAAGCGTTACTTTCATTGTTGCATGTGGTACGAGCATAGGTGCAATAGAGTTTTTCTTCTTAATAATTATTTTCTTGTATTTTTTAGCTTGTTAAATTTTGTTTATTTTATTTACGATTAAATATTTATTAATTTGAAATGATATCTTTATGTGTAAGCAGTTTAACGATGAAACACAATAAGAGTTAATGGTTAAGCGATAACATATCAGAATTGCACCGATATAATACTATGATTCTTATATCCATTCTTCTAAAAACTTCTAGAACTGAATGTATATTGGATAAACACTTCTTTAATGAAATGGTTCTCAATTTTCTTTCAAAACCAGAATCGATCTCACCCCTACATTTTCATTATAAGACGATATATAAAAAATTGTGTAGTAGCTTTATTTAAGTTTATCTTGTGTATCAGTATTGATGTAGAATATTCTTGTTGAACTTTATTGAACATAAAAGGATAAAAAAATTCAGAGTTTAATTTTCAAATCTTGCATATTGAGACCAACCTTTCACCCACTTCACGACTCAGACGGTACTAGTGCAGGACAGCAGGACCTGTTGGCAGGTTTGTGATCCCGAATAAATAATTAGCTAAATCTAGTTTTATTCTGCAATCAAATCTATGCGTACTTGTGACGAATAAAAGACAACAAAAAAGTCCGCAGAAATCTTTCGTAAGGAGATGAGACAATTGCAGAAAATTAATGTAATAAGAATGAGTTAAAGTTCACGAGAATCCATGAAAGAAAGTTTGAATATGTCTAGACATTTAAAAGTCTACATTGAATACTCTTATACTTCTTTAGACTTTTAAAAGTCTACATTGAAACACCTAAACTTTTAAAATCCATGAACTTTAGAATTTTGCCACTAAATCCTAATACAATACACCCTCTTAATCTAAATGTATTGAATGGTAGCATATATCCGAGAGTCCCGCTCCCGTCAGAAGCTCTTGACCAGTATCACCGTGCGAAAATCTCCATTTGAAATGGTTTCTAATGAAATTTTTTAATGAAATTTTGTGAGCATGTTCTACATGAAGTGTTGATTATGTCCACCAAATTTTAATTTAAATCATTCATAAGTCAATTATTTACGGTAGAAATTACCCCATCCCTAATACACACTATGTTTGTAATGATCACCTTCTCCTTAATTTTAGCACATACTCCGTATTGAATTTCACATTGACACCTATCTTAGACAACCTTTGCCAACCAATTGACACCGCCCACCTCCATTAACTTTCATTGTCATTCGCAACCATGTGCCACCGGCACCAGCCACACCTTCATCCGGTTCATTTAAATAATGAAGTCAATCATTGCTTAAAATCTACTCATACTACCTCCGTCCCGCAAAGAAATTCTCACTTTCCTTTTATGGATGTCCCAAAAAGAAGTTATCATTTCTATAAAAGGAAACTACTTTTAACCAAAAAGTCACAACTTTCCTTACTTTTTATCCACTTTTTGTTTGATTTGACATAAAGTACGGGTATACTTGGAAAGTCAAAACAAAACTCTATCTTACATAAATATGTGTGTAGGTCAAACTAGGAACTTCTTTACGGGACGGAGGGAGTACTAAGTACGGAGTATTGAGTTAATTAGTTACCGAAATTTAATGTATTAAGACAATAGTAAGGAAGCCATAAGATTGTTAAACAATTCTAGTTTTTTTCAAATGTTTGTATTTCAACTCCATTTCCGACCTAGTAAATGAAACCAACAAGAATCGACCTAAAAACTAATGACAAATTATACCGTGAGATCAGCACATCATGCACATGGTGTGTCTGATCCCACTACTCCCTTATTTTCCCCTGGAGCTAGTGACTATGTTTAAAAAATCGACCCGACCCGTACGGGTCGATCCGGACCAAAACCTAATTTGATTAATTAAAAACCTGAAATGGTCAAAAACCGGGAAAACCCGACCGACCCGAAAAACCCGAAAAACCTGTAAAAACCCAATTTTGTTTTGTTTTTTTTTTCATTTTTTTAAATTTAAAAGCATTTTTAACCAATAAATTGCAATTTCAATACACTAAAAAATATCCAATATATTTATATACTCCGTACTAGTTATTTGTTTAAAAATAAAAATCATGTCAAATTATATACGTAGTAATAAATGTACAATAAAAATAACT